AGCTGAAGTATGTGTTTAAACGCTTGTCTAGTAGTAGACATTTCTACTTCAATCGAGTGGTTCATCTGTGGAACAGTCTCCCCTTTCTAGATCTTTCTCGCTCTTTTAATTATCTTAAGAATTTTATTTATAATCATTTGTGGAATCACTTTCTAGTTTATTTTGATAACACTAATGTATGTTCTTACCATTATGTTTGTCCTTGTAGTAATTGTCACCTAATTCATATCTATTAATATTACTTCAGATTTTGTGGTTGCTGCACAAGTTGCTGTTAGCCTTTAACTGTTCTAAATTGTTTATGTTCTGTAGTACATGTATATCCTTTCGTTTTTACAGTTGAAAAATCATTTATTATTATTATTATTATTATTATTACTTCCGTTATATTAAAAAAACCTCACATAATTCTCACCCACCAGTCTTTGTGTTATGATAATGCTATCCTACATACATCTCATTATATCACTGCAGGCTCTTCTGTTTTGTTTTTCTCTCCATGATTGATCAGATTTTTGTGTGTGCATGAATGTTCAAGATTGAATAATCTTACCAAGTTACAGATTAATACATATACCAGCCTTTTTTATGGGCTTCTCAGCTCTCCATGTAAATCTATCATGAATATTTCAGTAACTGATTCGGTGCATGTAGCATGATAGGACCTCAAGCCCTTTTGCATGGTCTTTACTGTGCCTTTGCAAACCTATTTAAAGATACTAAGAGACATCAAGCTCTTCTATTTTTAATCTCTAGTATACTTTTTGATTGCATGAATGAGTTTCATGACCTCTCTCCCATTAACCTTTTGTAGCATTATACACCTGTATACATAGACAATGTAAACGTAACATCCTACCTCAAACCATATTCCTACCTCTTTTCCATTTTTGGCTTTAAAATGATAAATTTTATTTTTATCATTGCTTAGTTTGTGATGTAATACATTACATGGAGTATCATATGGTAAAAGACAAAGAGGGAATGGAGTATAGACTACCAGTTTTTTTGTTTAGAATGACTTAGTCCAATTATAAAAGCATTTTCAAAATGGCTCTGAAATTACCTCCAGTTTTATTACATTTTAAATACATATTGATGTCCTTGTGCTGTGTGCCAAGGAATAGTAAACTGGAGAAATTCTACCTCACAGCTGTAAGTCATAACTAGTAATAGTTATTGTGATTAATTATTTGCTTTATAAATCTCAAAATTTGTATTAAGTATTAAGAATAATTATGCATTACACTAAAAATAAGTCAAAAAAAATTTCAAAACTAATTGCACAAGAAAGTCACTATATTTATGGTAATTAAAACTGTAGTCATTGTTAGTTACTAGTGCTACGTTAACATGTACTATTCTTTCATTTTCATTATTATTATTAGTCTTGGTTTGATAAAAAGTCACAAACTGTTTTCACTTCTTCTCCTGTGATAGTATACTGAGCTCTTGCTTGTATCTCTGTACCACTGAAATCCATAAATACGTCATATGCTCTCTCATTTCTTGGTATATTCTCAGGATTAGGAATATCAAATATTAGCTCACCAATCTTACGTACTGTTACTTTACCTTTTTTATCCCTTACATATTGAACTCCATCATCTGTTGTACAATATATTGTGATGTGAGCTTGTGTGGACCATTGAGAATGAGGTATATAAGTTATTTTATATACATAGTCCTTTATTGTTTCTCCTTTGAGTACATATACGCATAGTACATTGTCACAACGTAATACACCATCTTCATCTACAAACTTGTAATGTTCATCATGTATTGATGGGTTAAATATAGGCCCACCTGCTATCCCATAGGTCGCATCAGCAACACGTGATTGGATTATGTTAGGATCTTTCCTCCACATTACTGCTCCTGATACAACAGCAAGACCTGGATATTGAGGACACACTATATTATCATAAAGAATACCACAATGCTGAGCGATAGCTTCTTCTATCTTTTGCCTAACAAACCTACACCCTCCAAACCCTCCTACTAGATAAACCGTATTGATTTTACTAGGTAACTTGTCAAATGCTGCTCTCACGCACTCTATGATCCTGTCTATTGTGAATTGGAATACCTTTTTTCTATTAGATCATATCCTATGCTTAATGAACCCTTTCTTGGATCGTAACGCATGTTGTGCATCATGACTTTAAGTATTTCATTACTTTCATAATGATTTATGAAAGCTCTCGGTAATTTGAGTACCATTTCGTCAATGCCTGGTGTTGCATCTCCAAATACTTTTTTCTGTTCCTCAAAGTCTTCAAAGACCAGCTTATTGATAACAGCTTTGTTACTAACACCAGATTTGATAAAAGACTCAAAACCTTTATCATCTACTGCTTCTTGTAGTAATTCTGATAAT